AACCTCTTTTCTTCTCCACAACTATCAATGCCTCTCCATATATTATCTGCATTTTTACAGAGGAGAATTCTGGAGGGGTTAGGAAAACTGTCCAAATGTGCACAGTGAGAATGTAGCAGGACAGGGATTCACACTCAGGTCTGACTCCCTTTAGCACCTGCACCATTTGCCTCTGTCAAAGGGAGAGGAATAGAACAAGGATTTTTTTCTCCCTCTCTGGAGGCCTCAGTATAGAAACTTTCTTTTTCTCTGCAAGCTCTATCAAGAGAAACCCCAGAATTCCATAGGCTACCCTAGAAAAATAAAATTCAAAAGGGAGGTGAAAATTGCGGCACGTGGCTGGGATCGTTGTTGCCTCTTAGAACAGCCAGGCCTCAAGGGGGATCTCGGGACCCTCCTTTTGCGATTTCAGAACAGATGTTCAAGTACAAGACGTTTGCCCCCCATGAGGGCAGATGCTATGTTTTTGGTTTCTAAGTATTCCTTCACCATCTAGCTCAGTGCCTTGTACATCGTCAAAACCAGAAATATATTTGGTGATCAGTAAAATCAAAGGGAATTAAAACAAAAACAACAAACAAACAAACAAAAACCTAGCTCTGATTTTGTGGCTCTGAGAATTTCTATTCACAGAGATGTGTTCTGAAAGCAGCAATGGTTCTGCAGGACAGGTGAGGCCCCCACCTGCCCCTCGGGTCTGGTTTACCTTCCTTCTGATTTGAAATGTAGATTGAATTCACATCAATGCATGTCTGGAGGAAGGAGATAATGCAACTGGAAGGAAACTGGGGCTATTTGGTTTTTAATGCAACACTTTTGGTCCTCTGGGATTTCAATTTGTTCTTCACTTAATCGTGCTTACAAATCAAACAAACGAATATTAAAGCCTTAACAAAACTGATAGAGAATGCTTTTCTAACAAGGTAATGCTGATTTATACTTACCTAATAGTTTCATTCTGCTTAAGACTCTCTTTTCATTTGTTTTCATTCTTTGATGTTTTTCACCCTTGCTGGTAACATAGAAGTGGAAACACTTTAAATATGATCTTTTGTAACCAACAGTTACTTTCTCCTCAGCATACATTTGGATCATTGTGAAGGTATCCCTCAGGAGTTTTATTGAAAAGCAAAATACATAACAATGCCAGTAGGTAAAGGGCCATTTTATTTATTGAGAGGGTGGGTGAAATCATGCATTATTGTCAGGAAGATGCGCCCAGAATTATGTGACTGGTGCTTGCTCACCAGTGTGTGCAAAAGATCTAGGATGATGTGTTGGTGAAGCCCTCAGGGCCAAAGAGATGGTGCATAAAGCATATCAGAAAGCACCTGACCTGGGAAAACTAAAATCACCAATCTCACTTCTCAGCGAAAGTACTATAATCCGAGTGAATACTTTATATTAGTCCTTGGTGAAGTGTGTGCTTAGGAGGGACCATCTCAGCTTCCAACTTTTACTCTTGTCATTGGTGAACCCCCTTTCTTGGGTCTGATATCCTTTCCTGGTAGTTTTGTGGCTAATTTAGAGAGTCGTACAGTGGAAAGACCCTAAAGATCAGGAAGCCATATCCTCCTTGGCTTTGCTACTTACCAGCTATTTGACTTTGCTGCTTAACCTTCCCCAAGCCTCTGTTTTCTCCTTTGCCTATTGCGCAGAATGGTTGTAAGCACAAATGAAATAGTCTTTGCAAAAAGACTCTAGAAACTGATAAAACATTATCTGACTTGAAGGCACCATTAGCATTTTAATTTTCTTTATAATTTTAGAAAACGCAGGTCATTGTTGGTAAATGAAAGACAGAATGGAAAAAAAACCAGTTTTTATTCTGTTAAAATAATGTTTGTGGTAAAACCATATAACTTGGAGCTTTTTCATGTTGTATGAACAATTTTGATTATATAGGATTCATCAGTTGGCAACCTAGACATACTATATTGTGTTGAAGCAGCAGTTCATAATTAGACAAATTAGAAACTGACATATTTTGTAACCACACTATAGCAAATATTATTGGCACACTTTTTAATTTGATGGTCAAGGTGATTAAAACGCTGAGTTATGGTGGTTTTGCATTGCTTCGGTAACATTTTATACAATTATTGTATTTACATAGAATTACCAAATCAGAATGATTAAATTGCCATAATTAATGATATTTGATCAGAGTTCTGTAACTTATTCTACTTATTCAGCTTGCTTCTTCACTAGGTATAGAAAATAGTTATTTTTTTCTAATTCATGATGTTTAAAACTTCTTTGTCCAAGTACCTTATAGTTACATAATGCTTTGTAAATTTCAAAGCTTTTCACAGACACTATTTAATTTGATGCCTGCATAATATAAACAATCACAGCCATTGGTGATTCTAACAGTCCCATGAAACCAAGCACTAAATTGACTGGATTCTTCTTATTAGATGTTATCCTAGCACTGCCTCCCTTTCCTTGTGGCCCTTGCCACAGTTGTATTTGTATGATCATTTCTGTCATTACTCGACAATGCACTAGTTGTTAAGCTCCACCAGGGTAGAGACCAGTCTGTTTACACACCTTTGTACCCCCAGCTCTCCATGTAGTGCCTGGCACTTGGCAGGAGCTCAGTAAGGATTTGCTAAAAGAATGAATGAGTCCAGGACATTGCTTGTTATACTACACAGTTTTGAGGTCCCCTGGGAGAAGATTTTTTGTGGTCTTCATGTGGTCTCAGATAACAATGCTTCTCCTGAGCAGTTGGTTCATTCTTACCCTGTGAATACTGTGAGCTGTGTACCTTGTTATATTTTCTTGTCCTTCTTGGCTGCTAGAAAGCTTTGAAACAAATTTTGGTTGACCCTTAGCAGATGTGTAGGACTTCACAGTATATGTTTTGCACACTGGTCACTTTTGCATTTATAATTTATACCCCTTTCCTTATTTTTATTTATCATCCTTTTGTTTATTATAGTATATATTTTATGTGACCTTTGCAATTACCTTAAGTACATTTGGCAGCAAGGCAAGTATAAAAAAATGGTACTCACATTAACTGCCCTTAATGTACTCGGGGAAGTAGATAAAAGGATTAGAATTTCAAGAATGTTACATTGTCATAGGATAATGATTTCTTTTAATTTTTTTTTTTTTAATTTCACAGTGGAGCAACGATACTGAGATTCTTGGGTGCTAACACTGTAAGATCCTTATAATGACATTGAATGTGGACTTATGATATCTGCCGAATGTTTAGGAGGGTGTGTGAGAAATGAAAAAGTCATCTGAAAAGTGCTTTGCCGAAAAGATCACTGGTTTCTCTTGTCCCTTTATTATCCCTTTATTGTCCCTTTATTGGGTGGTGCTGGGGCTTGGATAAGGTTAGGTTTATCTCTGGCCTACCACACTCGGTTTTGCTTTATTTTTTCCCCTAAGTTCTAGGGATGTAAGTGAATGGAAAAGTTATTTCCTATGCTGAAATCTTGGTGTAGCTCAGGCCTTCTCAGGCATTCTTTGGCTTGAGAAATACTGTGTGAACCATGTAGTCCCCAAATTAAACCTTAAAAATAATTTCAGCCCCAACTTCCACAGAGCTCAAGCAATTAGATTTGTAGCACTAGCAGATGTAAATAAAACCTCTTGCCTCCTCTCTACTTTTGAAACTTTAATGACCCCCCCCCCCATTGTTGGGAGAAGGGGACTTTTGTTTACAGTGAAGCACCACTTTCAGTTAGACTCATGATTATGTGACTTTCGGTATTTGCTATGTCCTCACTCTTGGCCAACACAAATATGTTATCACATTCGACCTTCCTTAGCATAAGAATGACTTTGGAAGGCCACAAGATTTTCTAATAAACAAATAATGAAGGAAATGAGAGCACCTGCAAAAGGAAGGAAAACTTCCAACTGCAGATTAGGAGATAAGACATAAAACAAAGCCATCCATTCCTGTGATGTGATGGTCCCTTCCAAGAATGCAGAATGCTGTGACCACTTGTGTGGAATGCCGGCCCTGGAACACTTGTTCCAACACAAGCAATCCTGACCAGCCAGTACTGTCCGACCCCCTGTCACTGAACGAACCCCCCAGGCGTTCACTGACCCTCACCCAGGAGCAAGGGGAGGAGCTCCCTCCTGGCGCCATTAAACTTGAAATTAACTCTTTGTGGGTAATAACTACAATAGCCAATCCCACCTCTTCTCCCTTCTCCCTTCCTGCTCTTCTCCCCTTCCCACAAGCCCCAATTAAATCTTAGGAGTTCTTGACAGCAGTGATCTTGCTATATAGGGGCCTGTTTATGAAGCCAGTTCTAGGGTTGGGAGGAGAGAGGCTCCCTTCTTAACTTCTATTAGCCTCGGTTTCATCCTCTGAAAATGATCCAGTTAGACTAGAGGATCTCCAAAGTCCTTATAGCTTTGTTTATTTTTTATTTATTTATTTATTTTAAATAGCATTAATTGTATTTCCCTATTTCGAAAGATGCTCAGACTTCTCTTGGAAGTCCTTTTTATTTTCTCTACATTTTATTTTTTTCTTTAACTCCTTGTAGGAAAAGCAGGCTCTGGGTTCAAATTCTTGCTTCATGAATTGCTACCTATGAGGTCTTAAGCAAGTTTCGTAACCTTTCTAAGCCTTAGTTTCCTTATCTGAAGCAAAAAAAGGAACAGTGATAATGACTAAATCTATTTCCCAGATGTCTGAGGATTACACGAGAAAATCCATGGACAGCATCTCATGTTCTTTCCTTTTCTTCTTCCCCCTTCCTGCCTCTTTTTCTCTCCTCTGCTTCCACTTCCTTGCCTTGTCTCCTACTCTGCCTACCACCTTCCATTCCCCCCAATTTCCTTACTCCTCCCATTCCCTCTCATCAACTCCGCTGTACAGCGGGAGTAAGGCAGACTCTGGAAGGGGGTAGCAGCCAGATATCAGGAAGGAATAATCCTCCTTCCACTTCTTCTACCTCCTATGGTGACCCATGAGGCAAGCCCAGTGGCCCTGTGTCATATGACCCCTATTTCCACAGGTAACAGAAGAGGATCACAGGTGGATGGAACCACATGGAACAGGTGAGACACACTCTATTTGTATTTCCTTTCAAATTGGATGTAAGAACATTTGGTCTCTTCAAAAGTCACTTTGGGGTGCAGCAATGACTACACTTTAAGAAGTTTCTTTAAACCTTCATAGCCTCAGATTCATCACATTCATAGAGTGGTCTCCTTTTTGGAGCTATGACCACCACCATTACTGAGGGAGGTATGGGGAGGTTGAAGGCGGGTGGGGTATGGCAGACAGAACGGGGAGAAGAAGGAACAAAATAAAATTTGTATAAGTAGGTGATTGATGTATTTTGGAGTTGGCTTGGTAAGAAGTTTATAGTTGAGTTTTTTTTGTTGTTTGTTTGTTTTTTTAAATCCCTGTCTATTATATCTTAAACTTTTGTGGCTAAGAAGCCATGAAGGTATAACTACATCCACGGAAGGGATGGGGAGCACATGACCAGGATCCCCCACTCAGTGATGGGAATTAGGTTGGACCTCAAGTGCCTACTCCTACCAATTGGTAGCAATTGCCTAGAATACTGAATTGAGAAAAATCAGAGGTACACCTAGATCACAGAAAAAGAGTAGAATCACAGAAAAAGAGTGCTATAATATCTTATCAATGCCATGGACAAGGAGTGATGGGTGTCTATGGACTATGTATTTGCCAATTCCAGATTCAGATATATGATGATCACCATCTCAAGCAGGAAGCAAACTCACCTAAGACCACACCAGGAATAGTGTTGCATGCTAACAGAGGAGAAAGACGTGAGAATTCTTTTCTGGGGGTATGGAATAGGAAAGACGGGGTGGAGAAGACAGGGCTGCTGAAATGAATAAGGGAGGAAAAAGAAATTGTTGCATGGTAAGGCAATAGAAAACATACATGAGCATTAACTCTTCATGAGATGAAGTCATACGAAACAGTATTTTAACAAAAGTCTCTCCTTGCACCTGTTAATGTTTAACCTCTGCTGAGGTGGCGTCCAGCTGGACAGGTCTGCTGAGTGTAAATGGTTTTCTGGGGTTCCCATATGTTGTTTCTGTCTTAAGCTATTGATATTTGCAAAGAGAAGAAAAAAAAAACTTTAACCCAAGTATATGGAATAAGCTTTGCTTGTCTTCAATTCCCTTGATGAAAAGTTCTGTCTTTTAGATAAATTTGACTGCAACAAAGGCTTTAAAAGCTCTTTCTTGCTTTGAAGATTGTAACTTATAGAGATCATAACTTAAATCTAAGGGATAATGCAAAATCTGGCAGTGGCTACTCAATACAAACTCAGATTTAAATTGTCCCTACATCATCCTGGTGCTTTAGTTTCTTAGAATAAAGGAGAATGTGTTCCAAAAGGTTTTCATTTTCCAAAAAATATATATTTTTAATAATAGTCAATATTTTCTTAAGCTCAAACTGCTAGGTATAATCATATCTATTTGCTGTCTATATGATGATTTTTTTGGTGTCACAATTTAGCAGTTATAAACTCCCAGTTTTCTGAAGAAGCACCCTGAGGACACATGGAAGGAATTGTGTATTGAGAAGGTTTGTTCCCTTCCTTCTGTAGTGACTCCTACTTCCTGGATCCAACTGATCACCCACTCCTATTGGTTTCACCTTCTAGTACCTTTTTTGTGCTTAGTCCAGACTTCAAATTGATTCCCCTCTCTGTTCTTATTCCATCTATTCTTGTTTCTTTAATCTATCTGTCAAACTCCTGCCATGATAATCTTGTTCCATTTTCAGTTAAAACCATTCAACAGTTTTTCAGCACCTGCAGGATAAAGTCCATTCAAACTCTTGCACGCTTTGTCTACCTCTCTAGACCCATCGCTGCCCTCTCCACACCTGGTAGTCTAAGCCCCTGCCCCACCAGGTCTCTTATTATAGTTCTCTCTTCATTCTTTACATGCTCAGTTTCTACACATACTGTTTCCTCTCCCATTCGTCTTTTTTTCCACCAGATAAATTCTTACTCACTCCTTGAGACCCAGCCCATGCATTATATCTGTTACCAAGCCATTGTTTCCACTTTCATCTTGTTTTTTGCCTCTGTGGTAGTCTGTGTGGGATCTCTAGGTTGTATTCTCTAGTGCAATCAGACTGTTAAATAATGAAGTACTTCCACAGGCCCTGGAGTGCCAGTCCTACCAAGGGGACCCCCAAAACCTTCCAGTGATTAAAGGGTTACCACCTGCAGTAGCAGCAGTAGCAGGGGTCTTCCAAACCCTATTTAGGCACTTTGGCCACTATCCACTTGGACTCAATGGTTGATATTTTCAATTTCCCCCTTGATTACATTATTTCCCCAAGCTTCATGGCATTATCTGTTGCATTTACTCACTCGTCTATCTCTCCTTTTAAGAAGTAGCTTCCCTGAAGGCAAGGAGACAATCCTCCCAGCCCAGAACATGAAATAAAGCCAATGCTTAATAAACGCTGAGTGCGAGTGAGGGAGTCTACTGGGGTGGGAGCAAGACGTTGTAGAAATGGCGTTAACTGACTCCTTCCTGATCGGCTCTGGACCGCCCCACACTGGGAGCAGTGGTTTTCAACTGGGGTGATTTGGCCCTGCCAGGGGGCAGCTGGCAATGTCTGGAGACAGTTTTGTCACCACTGTGGGGGTAAAGTGGAGTGGGTGGGAGGATGGGATGGGGTAGGTAGGGATGGCAGTGCTAATGACATCTAGTGGGTAGAGGCCAGGGATGCTGTGAACACCCTACACATGCACAGGACACCCCCCTGCAACAGAGAGTTGTCTAGGCCCAGACGACTTATAGCTTGGCAACACGGTCCTTTCCTCTGTACTCTGTGACGTTGGAGTCCCAGCCTCTCGCTGGTCAATGCCTTTTTCTCCACCCTTTCCCCCATGCCATGCTTCTAGTGAATCTACACAGGAATGCAAGATAAAAGTACTTTTTTTCTTTCTCTCCACCTTTCCTTTCCTTTGCTGCCTTAGCAGGGCCCTCTACACCATATCTCTGCCAGTGTTCCTACAAGGGACTTCACTCTTATTTATTATACAGCTAAAAGGTTTTTTGAACAACATGTAAGATCTGAGGTCTACTGGTACAATTTGACATATTAAAAACAGTGTTCCGGGTCTGAGAGAGAGCTAGTGAAAGAAAAAAAGAAAAGGACACAAGAGTCTGGATATTTGACTGTGTCTAAAAGACCTCAAAATACCCAGTGGAACACGGAAAAAAGCGGCTGCCAGTCAGTTTTGTTTATGTGGAACAAGCCAATTGTTTCCCCCCACGTGAGTGGCTGGGTTTGTTTTATCTTTATGTAGCCACTATTCCTCTTTTTTCCCCACAGACCAACTAGAACTCATTCTTTTTGTGATTTTTGTTTTGTTTTTCTTCCTTCCAATGAACTTGTATTTTGCTGCATGATATCAAAATATTTTCTTCAAAGACAATTTCCTTTAAAAATAAACTGTTATCAGGAGAGAAGCTATGTTCACAGCTGGTAAAGGCATGATTAAATAATCACTGTATGGGGAATTGAAAAGCAATTTCATAATATAGCTTTAGAATCCAAAGAGAAAATCGAAGGAAACATTCCAGTTAGTTAAGAAAACTTTTAATCAAATGAAGTGTTTGAACTCTATTTGGGATTTTTTTTTCTTTTGGCAACTTTCTGTATGTTCATGTTTTACTTGGTGAGAATTTGTAAGAGGTTATCTTAATACAGTTATGGGCTTCCTGAGAGTTTGGTTAGCCTTCTAATTACATATAAAATAGACTCGCAAATAGTAACACTAAATGTTTTGGATGTAAATTTGTCATGGGACCTTATCTTTACTGCCAGTCTCTGCCATAGTTCTTTTTTTTTTTTTTAATTATTATTAGTCTAAGAGGAAATAAGAACACTTTAAGCAGGAATTCCTATATTCTTTATGTTCATAGAGTGACATAGACTCTTAGACTCTTCATGAGTAGTGAAGGTATGGAGGAAGAGACACTACTTTTGAATCAAAAGAACTAGGGCTCTGCCAAATACCAGCGGGTAATTCTCAGATATCATCAAACCTCCCTGGAGCTTGGTTTACTTCCTCTGTAGACTGGGCACAACACTACCACCTTTCAGCTTTGTGCTGGGACCAGAGCTTACTATACAGAGCCCTCATCACAGTACGTGGCAGGTCAGTAAGCAATCAGTGACTCAGTGAACAATAGCTGCGATCAATACCTTGCTTGTGATAGCGGTTCAGAGGACACCAACTTTTTATATAAAAGTTTTCACTTTGAGACTGATAAAATGTCAGAGCTACCAAAGAGGAATTTGTAAAATGCTTATCAGAATTTCTAAGGCCACAAATGTACAGATTCTATCTGAATAATAATTTTATGCCTATCATTTTAGGTATAGTTTCTATTGATTTTAGATGAGAATTCTTTGATTTCTTTTTCTTTTTTTTTTTTTTTAGCATCTTTGGGTATGGAAATCCTGTACTAATCCCAAGCATTAAAACAATTTATATACCTGTAATTGTGACACAATATAAATTCCACTTGAAAATTATATTTGAATATTTATGAATGTTATTCTATTATCAGCCCATGATTTTTAAATAATAAATTTAGCTATGAAATGTAACAATATTTAAATACATTTAAAATAATGTATCTTTTGAACATTTTGAGCTTTTCAAGTTGATTTAATTGTACAAGATGAAAATTAGTTGAGGTAGTCTGGTTCATGAAGCTATATATTAAATCTTTAAAAAATGAAATTACTTAGAAGAATTTTTCCAAGTTTTGTGGAATGTCTCTATTTTTATCATTCGCATGTAGCTTGGAATATTTTAATATACGTATATGCAGTACAATAATTAAAATTATACATGTTAAAGACATATTGAGCTCCTATAACAGAATTGACATGTGCCTTAGAGCTGTGTTTGAATAGCGCATTCAGCAAGCCCTTTAATCAGTTTACATAATACGGTATTTGAAATGCCTTTCCAAAGCATATTTATCTGGATTTTATTGACCATGCAAATTTGCATTCTATTTAA